AAATTTGACTCAGTTCTCTACATATTTTAGAAATGAGGCCTTTATCAGAGACACTGGTTGTTAAAATTCTTTCCCAGTTTTGTGCTTCCCTCCTAATCTTGGTTACATTGACTTTGTGCAAAAACTTTTCAATTTAATGTAATCAAAATTTTCCATTTTGCATTTCATAATGTTCTCTATCTCCAGGCAACACTCTTAAGACTTTAAATTGCCAAGAAGCAACTGATCTGTATTGGCAGATGGTGTCCCCTACATTAATAAAATCACAGATTTGGTCCAAAAAAAATTTTTGTCCATAATAGCAACTTCTTACACATTATCTGATTCAACCTCTAAGAAAAAAAAAAAACACCCTGCAAGGGAAAAGAAAATGATGAGGGGCTACAGGAAAATGAGCTCACTAATGTACTGCTGGGAGAACTCTGAAATGGTCCAGAAGTTATTTGGAACCATGCCCAAGAAGTTACTAAATTGCTCACTCTTTGACCCAGCAATACCATAACTAGATCTATAATCCCAAGGATATCTAAGATAGTGAAGAGAATAAAACCTATGAAATAATTTATTCAATAACACTGTAAAGAAAAAACTTTGAAAGACTTAGTAATTCTGATCAATGCAGTGACCAATGATTCCAGAGGACAAGAAAAATAACAAGGAAACACTCTACCCACTTCCTGACAGAGAGATGATGGATTCATGGTACAGAATGACATATACATTTCTGGGCATGGCCAATGTGGGAATTTGCTTTGCTTGACTATATACATTCATTACAAAGTTTTATTTTTTTCTTTTTTTAAGGTGAAAAGAAAAGCAAGATGTAAGAAACAGAAATTTATGGTTTCATGTACAATATCCTTTTTCTGGTTCTAGTACATGGAAATGCTCATTTTATTTGGTGGTTACGTTCAGAATTTTTTTTTAAATAAATGACTCAGCAAAATAGGTAGGACAGATTCTACTACACCATTTTACTGATAAGGAAACAAGCTCAATAAAGTTAAACATGTTAAACTATAAAAATAATGTGTCTATTTCCAAAGAAGATCTATTACCAACTTTCTGCGAGGCTTTACTATGAAAAACAAATAGCTCAAGTGAAAACTCTAATCATAAAGAATATGGCACTCTATCTTTCCTGGAAAAGATGACTAAAGAACAAGCAACTAACATAATCTCTTGAACAAATAAGATAAACCCAAGATTCCTACTGAAAAGTTAGCCTCTGTATTCATGACCTAAGTTCTTCTGAAAGCATCCTCCTTTCTTTTAAACAAAATTTATTTGGTTGTATAAATTGAAATCCACTGTTTTTATGAATACGCTGAATCACCCTAGCCTCCTTATTAAAATGGATACAGGCATCAATTCATCTTATTCTTATGGGCTCAAAGGCATCCACCCTACCTAAGGATCAGGTAGGCTAACTATATCAAAAATTATCTTAAACTGGTGGTAAAAATGATTTGAGGCTTATTCTAGTGATTCCTGAATAAAATCCAACAGGATCTTATTTGTAAATAATATCTTAATAACTGAACAGGGTCCCATGGTGTGTGGAGTTTAAATAAATCTTTTTTTTTTTTCAAATAAAACACACATTTCCATATACACTATAGAACAGGAGATAACATCTGATTCTCTACACATGGAGCCTGCCTTCCTTCTAAGTATAAAATAAATTCATCAAGTAACTTTCAAAGCTATCTTACTTGTCTGTAAGTCCTTCTAACCTCCCTTCGGTTCTCATTTTCTTTTAACCTTATTCCCCCTCCCCAACTCTTTCACCTCCCATTTGGCCAAATAAAAAGGAAAAAAAAATCTTTATAACCGGCATGCACAGTGAAGGAAAACAAAACCCCACATTTGTCATAATAATATTACTTATCTGTCAGCCAGCGAGTAACATGATTTATAATCAGTCCTCTGAATTCATGGATAATCATTACATTGCTTAAAGTTCTTAAGTTTTTCAAAGTTGTTTTTCTTTACATTGTTTTTTGTTCTTGTAATAATTTTTCTCCTAGTTTTGCTCACCTCACTTACAGAAACATCAGTTTTTGTAAGGCTTTCCAGGTTTCTCTGAAATTGTCCTTTCATAATTCCTTACAGCACAAGAATGTTCCAATGTATTCGTATACCCTAATTTGCTCAACCATTCCCCAACTGATTCCAGTTCTTCAAAACTAGAAAACAAAAAACCTAAAAAAACAAACCACCCTGCTGTAAATATTTCTGTGCATTCAGGAGCTTTTCCTCTTTCTTCGATTTCTCTGGGATATAGGACTAGTGGTGGTATTGCTGGGTCACAGAGTACACAGTTTAGTGACTCTTGGGGCACAGTTCCAAACTGCTTTGCTGAATGTCTTGAGTCTGGACCAATTCACACACAGCATCATCAACAGTGTGTTAATATGCCTGTTTCCTCCAACATCTGTCATTTTTCCTTTTTGTCATATTTGTCAATATAATGGGTGCGAGGTAGAACCTCAGAGTTACTTTATTTATTAGTGATTTGGAGCATGCTTTTCATATGGTTGTTGATAGCTTGAATTTCTTCCTTTGAAAACCACCTATTCATATCCTTTGACCAATTACCAATTGGAGAACAGCTTTTGTTCTTATAAATTTGAATCAATTCCTTACCTATCTTACAAATGAGATCTTTATCAGACAAATTTTCTAAAAAAAATTTTTTCCCAGTCTATATGTTTCCTTTTTCATTTTAACTGCATTGGCTTTATTTGCACAAAAACTCTTTAATTTTATGTCTTCAAAATTGTCCATTTTCTTTTCCGTGATCCTCTGTATCACTTGTTTGGTTAAGATCTCATCCCCTATCTATAGATCCAAAAGATAACTTCTTCTTTGCTCCTCTATTTATTATGTGACCTTTTATATCTAAGTCATATATTGACTTAGAGCTAAAATAAATCTTAAACTGAGTTAAAGGGACTAAAATTTTCTGAAGACCAAGGATCACTATAGGCTTCTAATCAAATGCCTACTTTACAAAATTTTCTATGTAATATGCAACACAGAATTAGATATAAGAAAGATCTCTGCCTATGAGTTAATGCAAGAATAGCATTCTAAACACTTTCATACATGCAAGAGGAAAAAACTCTTCAAAATTTGAAAAGCCAATAATATCTTTGGGCCCTTTGACTCTTTTCATCAGTAATGAAAATACAGGATGGAAGTTTTTTAAATCTCTTCAAAATTTATATATTATTTTGTATCAGCTAAACATTCTGAGTTTGATTATAATGACACTTAATGTTTAAAGTTACTAAGTTTCTCTTTCAACATACCGGCACAGATTTCTGTTTCTTTTTCTTCTGTTTTTTGGAAAGCCTAACAAGTAGACAAAAATAATATTAAATAATTATATAAAAATTTAACAATTCTAAGCCAAAGAAAAATATTTGTACCCTGGGAACAAAATGTTTCAAAATATTCCAACTTTAAAAGGATGAAAGAATTTTTACTTAAAAAAAAAAATCACATTAAGGAACTTAAAATATTCAGCAATTCAAATTAAACTGCCAGTCTCCCAGAGGGCCTACAATTAACTAAGCATCAACAATTCTAATGTTTGCTTACCCATAGAGTACTATACTTTTTAAAAAATGTAATTAAAAAAAAAAAGAAAAATGTAATTCAAGTAGAAATCTGCTTTCATTTGGAGTATATCCCTTCCTCATATTAGAGGAGGAAAATAAATTCTCTAAATTAGTACTACAAAATAACTTCTTTGAGAAAATGCTACAAACAAATAACAATTATCCCTAAATATTAACAACATTTATAGCAATTTTGTATACTTAAAAGTACTTTTGCTTTGGTGTATCTTCTGTTTCTTCCTCTGCATTAGCATCCAATCCATTTTCATTTGCCTGTTGATGTGCTGAAAAATCTTCCTCCTCCTCTTCCAACTGTTGTTTTAACAAGGCAACCATCTCCCGATGCTTCTTTGATTTTTCATGATTCCTCATGCTGAAAGAACATCAAGATGGTGTTATTAACTGCAATGTAATTTATGAGGCATGATTATTATTGCCAGTAAAGTGTTCTTATACATAATGAATGCTAAATAATTCTTTTAAAGTGGCAGTGAAGATATTAGAAAGAGAAATAAAGCCCCAAGTTAGGATTGCTTAAGCACTGATATACTGGAAAACTAGGGATGCAGCTACGGCCTTGTTTTCTTAATTCCTCAAACCTCTCTTTCTGCCAGTCATCCCCTCCTTTCTTGCTATTTTCTGTCTAGTTCTCTTCACTATTCTGCTCTGTATTTAATGTTGCAATGTCGTCTCTGCTCTGTCCTTCCTATCATTCCATTTACAAAGATTTACTGAGCGCCTCCTCTGTAAACAAAACAGCTCTATGTATTTGGGGATATATAAGACATGTACAAGAGAAATTTGTTCCTGTCAAGGAGATCATAGTCTAAAAGGTCAAGGGAAAGGCCATTTGAAATAATTGAAGAATAGAAAAAGAGGAGACTGTGCAAATGCCAAGTGGCACTAATAGCCAATACGGTGGTAATTCAGCATCTTAACTTCCTCAGCAGTCCTCCTTCAACTCCTCAGGTTTCTTCTCTCTTCTCTACCTCACTTCCCTGCCTCCTCCTCCCAGGGCTCCTCTCTTCTGTGGCCTAAAGGGAGAAGTGAGGCAGCTGCTAACTGTGATTGTAGGGACTTCTGGGTTTTGATCTCTCTCTCTCTCTCTCACAGTAATAGTGTTTTATACCTCTCCAATATATTTTTTCTTCCTTTTTTCTCACTGTTGATTTTCCCCTCTTCCTTTTTCTCAATGTATTTGTTTAGGCAGCTTTATCTTTGCCATGTTTCTACCTCTGTTCTTTCCTTAACAATGTTCTTTTTGGTCCTTTCTTTTCCTACCATCTCCAGAACTTGTCTTTGATCTCCTTGGATAAAGTCCTTGTACCTCATCAAGTTTAGTTGGCAATGCTTGTGGGCTGGCAGCAGAAATATGTATGAGGAAGTAGAGAGATCTCAAGTCCAGGAGAGGAAATAAAAAAATCATTAATTTTGACCTGTTCATCTCTTAAAAAAACTATCTCACTGATATTTCTCAGTTGACTAAATCAGTAAGAAAGAGCACCGGACCTGAAGTCCGGAGATATGGGTCTGATTCTCATCTCAAATACTGATTAGTTTTATGACCATGGGCAAGCCAATTTCTCAAATCTTGCACTCCCTCTCAATCTGTGGGTTGTTGTGAAAAAAAAGTACTCTGCAAACCTTAAACTGTTAAATGTAAGTTAATTAGCTAATTAATTATGAGGCAGAATGTGTAGGACCATTCAGAGAAGAATAAAATATTAAAAGAGAAGAACACTGGCTCTGGAGACAGAAAAAACAAGTCTGAGTCTCAATTCTACCTATGGGACCTTGGGAAGTCATTTAATCTCTAAGCCTCAGTTTCCCCATCTGTAGAAACAATAGTACTTGTCCAAAATACTTTTTCAGGCTCAACTGTGATGACTAAATTATATTTTACATAATGCATAAAGTCCTATGTAGATGTCAACTACCATTATCACCATAGTTACTATTTTATAGGACAAGAATTGAACCACGATCAGTAGAGGAAAGTACTATTGATTGTGTGTCCAATTTGTCCAGCAATTGGTCCAAAATACATTCTTATGCTAGAGTTCTTATAAAGTCATTGTTACAAGCAATGATTTTAAAGAATCTCAAAATAGAAAATAATTCTTTCTAATCAAATAATTGGTATCACTGCCTATTTTTTAAAAGTAATAAAAAACAAAGTTATCTGCTTAAAGAAAGAAATTTACTTACGCCTTTTCTGTCTTAAAGGATTTGTCACATGCTGGGCAGTACAAATCATCATAAATTTCAGCGTCTTCACCCTCGTCACTTAGTTTACCTACGAGAAAGAATCTCTGAATAACAATTCTGAAATGGTCTGAACACAAAAAATACAGACTACTTTCAAAGCTAGAATTCCTTAATAATGTTCTAACATAGGATTGAGATGGCAAATTGTTGCTTCGGTCTCCTAGAGGGATGTTTTCTTTCTCTGCACCAAACAATTTTAATATACCTAGATTTTTCTATTAGTGGAAAAAAGTACATTAGTTCAAACCAAGGGAAACTCTGTGGTCTTGAGGGGACCTCTTTAAAAGCAATTCTGCATTAACTGGGAATGTTTTTAATATCGTCCTAAAAAACAACATATATTTAGTATTCTTATTCTTCAGGTTCTTCAACATAGATCAAAACAAAACAAAAAAATCAAAAGGGATTTTAATTAGCTGTTTCCAGGCTGAAGTTCTAGATGAGACAGAAGTTTAGAAAATCTAATATAATTTAAAAGGCCCCACTGGAGAGACATATTTTTCAGCCATGAAGTTTATAGCTTTATACTTTGTTAGACTTCAATTAAACTTGTTTACAACTACGACTTTCAATCTTTGAACAGACTTAGTATCCAATGTTTTTTCATTATTAGGCAGGTCATGGATATACACAATTATATAAACCTGAGCTTTGTCATTTACTTTTCAGATATCTTCCCTTTACCTGAGGTTACATAGCAGTCAAAAAAACCCGTAATGTTACAATATCCAGGATTCACATACCCAGAAAGCTCTTTAATGGGAGTGAGGGTGTGGGCAACACTATAGTCCATTTCTATTAAATAAATAAATATGCTGAACTGCAAAATCTTGATGTCTCAGAGTTCAAGTCACATTAGAGTTCATCTGGCCCAAGCCAATTCTTTGAACAGGAATACCCAACCTAGTGCCTCATACAAGTAGTTTTTCAGCCTTTGCCTGATGTCTACCAGTGAGGAACCCACTATCTCCCAAGATATCATGATCTGCTTTTAGAAAGAGTAGGAAGTTCTTTCCTCTATTTAACAGAAATCTGCCTTTCTAACTTCCACCTGTTGTCTGTAGTCCTACCCTTTGGCAGGAAAGTAAAGAAAAGCAAATTTAATCTCCTTTCCACAAGAAGGTCCTCCAAATACTAGAAGGTAACTATCATATCTATTCCCTTCCCCTCGATACCACCACACCTAGTCTTCTCCAGGTTAAATGGAGAAGGAGATAGGTTAAATATCTCCTGTTCCTTTAAGTCAATGCTCTTATGGCATGATTTCTTATGTCTAGGTCATGTTCCCCTTAAGTCTTCTCATCTTTAAACATTCCCAGTTCCTTGAATTCTTCACTCTCCAGCTACTCCAGGAGTCAATACTCAAGTGAACCTGTGATCTCATCAACTTGGATGTTTCTTCCCCCAATGATGCAGACAGCAACTCATCTACACTGACCTGCCCAATCTGTGTGGACTCCTGTCCATATCCAACCATAAGTTCACCAAAGGAGATCCATCCAACATGATGACAGCATTACTTACCTTCTCTTGACATCAAAAGGATACTAATGAACACTAGGGCTGCTGTGGGCAGCTAGGTAATACAGTGGACAGAGCACTGGACCTGGAATCAGGAAGACCTGAGTTCAAATCCAGCCTCAGACACTTAATAGCTGTGTGAGCCTGAGCAAGTCACTTAACCCTGTTTACCTCAATTTCTTCATCTATAAAATGAGCCAGAGAAGGAAATGGCAAACCATTCCACTATCTTTGCCAAGAAAACTCGAAATGAGGTCATGAAGAGTCAGTCACAACTGAACAACAACATCTACAACAGCTACCTACGAGTCATCCCTCAAGGTGTCCACATGATCAGCCTATCTTCTTTCTTTTTTTTTGATCACACATTTTCCTGATCACACATTTTCCTGATAACATCTTTTATTTCTGTTCTTCAAAGACCCTTGTTGGTTATACATCACAGTCAGCTCACACACAATGTACTCTCCATTGCCCTCTGTGTTATATTAATTTTCAGTTCTCCAAAGACTGCTGTATTCCATATCTCCCAGTTGTACAACTAGTCAATGCTCTTGGCCTAAAATGTAGTGTCCAGAACTGGACCCAATATGCCAGGAATGGTCTACGGGCAGAGTACAGTGGCACTATCACTTCCCTTGTTCTGGACTCTATATCTCTATTAGAACTTCCTAAGACCTCATAAGCTTTTTTGCTCCCACATCACAATATTGATTCATGCTGAGATTTGCCTGTAAACTACTAAAACTCCCTTAATCTTTTTTCCATTAACTACTATCTGGCTGTGCAAATGACACATAAATAAATTGTTCTTAATGACTGGCTAAAAGAAACAATTTTCAGGATTTATTCTGGTAAACTTCAATTTAATCTATTGCACCTTCCACCTACAATACTGTACAATGATACAAGGATTTAATGAAGACATCATCTTTCAAAAAGGTGGAAGGAGCCATGGGCAGAGCTGCCACTCTGGACCTGATAATCACCAACAAAGAACTAGTAGCCGAAGTAAAATGATGAGAAACTTGGGTCCGAAGTGACCTCCTCCATCTTGGAACTTGAGATAGAAGAAAACCATATGTAGTCTTGGTATGCACCATGGATTTTAGGAGAACAAATTTCAAAGGACTCTGGGAAAGAAATCTAGGACTACATCACAGAATTTTAGAAACAGAAAGGAGCTTGGCAGCCATCTAGTCCAACGAATACCAAAAACAGAATCCCACAACACATTTGACAGGTGCTCACTCAGCCTCTGCTTAAAGACTCCAAAGGGAAGTCTCCTATCTCGCCCAGAGCAGTTCATTCTACTTTAGGAGACCTCTAAATGATAAGAAGTTTTTGTCTTATGTCAGACCCAAATCTGACTCTTCCACCCATGGATCTTTGGAAATGGAGAATACCACTGCCTAAAATTCTCTAGGGAAGTTAGACCAAGAAGACTGTGATGATCTCAGGAATTAAATTCTGAGAACACAAAGAAAAAAATACCAATGAGGTGGCAAAGGAGGAGCAATCTAAAAAGACGTATGTGGTTCAACAGGAAACACATCAACTAACTTAGACATTTTTAGACTCTTACAGAATATGAAGTAAAGGCAGGCAATAGAAAATAACTATTAAAATGCAGCATGATTCTATACGAATAATGTCAGCTAGTGAGTACTAAAGCTCAGAATTAATTGAGCAATGAATGCTAAGGACCACAAAAGGGTTTTTAGCTACATCAAGGAAAAGAAGGCTTATGGGATCAAAGAAGAAATAGGGTCTCTGCTCATTATGAATGGAACTATGATAATGGGCAAGGAAGAGAAGATAAAACTAATTTTTAATTTACTTTTGTTTTGTTGATTTTTACCATACTAGACATTAAAACTGAGAAATACTTACATTTTACTTATTAATTCATTAAAATAACAATAATAAACCTATAACATGGATTCCACCACTATCAAAAACAGGCTATTAAAATACTCCTCTCTTTTCCAACTATTTATCTGTAGGAGCTCAGATTTTCTTTATATGCTGCAAACAAAACATAGTTTGAATGAAGCAGATATGAAAATCTAACTGTCTTGTATTAAGCTAGACATTAAAAAGATTCACAAAAATGTGAAACAATGCCACTCTTCTAATTTTTTTGAAAATTTAATGGTTTTTCATAAAAACATGTTAACATGTTATGGGTTTCTTATTATTTTAATGAATTAAAATGTAAACATTTATCAGCTTTAATTTCTAATATGGTAAAACAAATAGCTATAATCCACATAAATAAAAACTTACTGGAGTCCTCAATAATAAGAATGTCAAGCAATCACAAACCAAAAAGCTTGAGAATCACTGGGAAAGATTATTACAATAGTCTCACAATTGTTCTCCTAGCACAAGGCCTCTCCCTCTCCAATCCATCCTCCACACAGCTGACAAACTGGAATTCCTAAGTATAGGTTTAATCATGTCCCTCATTTACTCAAGAAGCCTCATTGGCTCCCCACAGCCTTCAAGTGAAGCAACAAATTTCTCTTAACTGGCATTTTGGCATCCCTCACAAACTATTTCCAACCTATCCTTACAAGCTTATTGTTTACATATTATTCCCTACTCTCACACTTAAGCTCCTGCCAAACTGGCCCGTTTGCAATTACCTGTGCATGACACTCCATCTCCTGTATTTGTGCCTTTGCCTGGAATATGCTTCCCCCTCATCTCCACAACACGATCCCTCTGAACTCCCTTGAATACTCATCTCAAATACCACCTCCTTCAAGAGACTTTTCAGGACTTCCCCAATTACCAGTCCCTCTCCCATCACTGTGTAATTTTTTTATATATATCCTAAGTTTATTTGTTCATTCGAACTGAGTTGATGTTGTTTCCATCAATATCAACTCAGTTCAAATTAAATAATGCAAGATAACATATGTAGAGAGCTTTGCAAACCAGCAAGTATTATAAAAATGCCAGCTATCATAATTTTCATTTCCTCTAGCATTATTTAAGTTCTTTGAGGGCATGGAGTGTATTACTTTTGTATCTCCACAGCTACCCCAAAGTGCAATATGATGCCCTAGGAATATAATATGCTCTGTCTCACTAGAAACTGTCAAGTGAAAAGTAGAATGCAAGCTCCTTAAGATAGACCTAATAAATGTCTATAGAATTTAAATGAATGACCACTTGTCACGAATGTTGTAAAGGGAATCCTCAATCAAATATGAATGGTCTTCATGACTGCTGGGGTCTCTTCCAATTCTGAGATTTTGTGATTCTGGGTTAGAATAGTATAGATCTTCTTTATGCATTCATCACCTCTAATCTATAATGATTGTGCCACATTGCAAGACCCTGAAGTGCCTTCTAAATCAATCAAAGTTCAGTGTTAAGAATATTCAGTTACATTCTAATTCTCTGAAAATTGGTTATCTACATACAGCAAATTTGGGTTAATCAAAATAGTAATATAAATACCAACCTACAATTTCATAGTGCCTTTTCTTATTTCTTTGCTTCTTTCCTTCTTTCTATCTTTTTTTAAAGTAGCCCTGTGATTTCTTCACTATAAGAAGATCCAGGTAAGGAAGGTCCTACACCAGCAAAGC